CACAAACACTGAGGGATAATGATATCTGTATTTGTATCTATGTCTGAATTGAGAGAGAGAGAGAGAGAGAGAGAGAGAGAAGAAGATGGAGGAAAGGAAGGATGGAGACAGAGATGGAGATAGGAATGGTGCTGTGGCACAGTGGGTAAAACTGCTGCCTGCACTGCCAGCATCCCATATAGGCGCTGGTTAAAGTCCTGGATGCTCCACTTCCAATCTAGCTCTCTGCTATGGCCTGGGAAAGCAGTAGAAGTTGACCCAAGTCCTATGGCCCCTGCACCCATGTGGGAGACCCAGACGAAGGTTCTGGCTCCTGGCTTTGGATTGTCATAGCTCCTGACATAGTGGCCAATTGGGGAGTGAACCAGCAGATGGAATGCCTCTCTCCCTCTCCCTCCCTCTCTCTCTCTGCCTCTCTTTGTCTTTCTGTGTAACTCTGTCAAATACCTAAATAAATCTTTTAAAAAGTAGTTGGAGATAAAGATGGGGGAGAGGGAGAATGGGAGAGAGGGAGAGGAAGAAGGAGAAAGGGACTGGGAGAAAGAGACAGAGCTAGAGGAAGAGGAGAAAGAGAGAAGTCTATTTTAAAGAACTGGCTTACACAACCATGAGGACTGGCAAGTTCAAAATCCATAGGACAAGTGATAGGCTACAAATTCAGGTGAGTTGGTTTTGCGGTCTTAAGTTCAGAATCTACTGGTCAAACAAAGTAAGCTGGAGACTCAGGGAGGTTTTCTTTGTTGCACATTTGAGACTGATTTCCTTTTTCTTGGGATACATCAATCTTTGCTCTTAAGGTCTTCAGTTGATTAGAAGAGGTCCATCTACTTTATGGAGTGTAATCTGTGTTACTCAATGTCTCCTGACATAAATGTTAATCACCACTAATAATATCATATGCTATCTGTGACAACTAACTTAGCACCTAAAAGGAAATCTGTGGAAGTGAAACTGACACTAATAGAAAAATGACTTAATCAGCCCTTGTCCTGACTGTTGAGGAACAGCTTACTATTTTATTCTTTTTAGTATTTTGTTATTCTACTCAATACCATTGGTTGAACTCTTTAATTAACACAAAATTATTCTTAGGTGTTTAAATTTAACTGAAAATTGATCCCTGTTAAAAATAAGAGTGGGAATAAGAGAGGAAGGAAATGTACAGTTTGGCACATGTTCACTCGGAGTTACCCGTAAGGAAAAAGCTAGAAACGTGCCATGGGATTCCAAATACCATTAAGTTGGCAAGTACCAATGCCATCTTACTAGTTAAAATGATCAGTTTAAGTTCATAATTGATCATAAAGATAGGATTAAGTGTCAAAGGGAATCACATAAATAAGACCAGTGTCCGCTAATAAAAATTAATAGAATTAAAAAGGAGAGAATGATCCTACATGGGAAGCAAGATATACAGCAGACTCATAGAATGGGAAATACCCTGAACAGCACTCTGGCCTCAGAATCAGTCCTTAAGGCATTCAGATCTGGCTAAAAAACCCATGAGAGTTTCACAGGCATGGAAATCCAAGACACTGTGGCAAAAAATGACCTAAATGAAAGATCTTTGTGAGTGAGTTCCCAGTGGAAAGAACGGGCCATCAAAGAAGGAGGTACCTTTCTCTGAAAGAAGGAGAGAACTTCCTCTTTGACTATGACCCTGTCTAAATAGGTCAGAGTTTGTGAACTCAAGAGGCTTCCATAGCCTTGGCAGCTCATGACAAGAGCATCGAGTGACTACTGACGTCATAAATAAGAGTATCAGTTGTTAAATTGACAGGAGTTACCGAATACTTGATCCCCATGTAGGATCTGTGTCCTTAATGTGTTGTACTATGAGAATTAATGGTAAAACTAGTCTTCAAAGAGTACTTCATACTTGTGTGTTTGTGTAGGTGCAAACTGTTGAAATCTTCACTTAGTATTTACTAAGTTGATCTTCTGTATATAAGAATAATTAAAAATGAATCTTAATGAAGGGTGGGATGGAAGTGGGAGTAGGAGATGAAATGGTTGCAGATGGGAGGGAGGTTATAGGGGGAAAACCGCTATAATGAAAAATTGTACTTTCGAAATTTATGTATACTAAATAAAAGTTTTATTAAAAAAAGAGAAAGGACAAAAATCACCTTCACAACAAACAACCAGTACCATAGCCTAGACAAGCTGGCATAGAAAATTAACCATCGCATTCCATGTGGATTGCCTGGGGTAGCTCTCTTCCACTTCAGCTATCCTCTTCCTGGAACCAATAATAAGCATGCGAGATGGAAATACTGAATTTTACACAAGTGCTAGACCATGTGAAGCAAAATATTTATGAGCTAAGAAGTTTTGCAGCATCTCAAATTCAAAACCTTACCTTATTTATTTTTTACCTTTGTTTTAGTTAAAAAGCATGTGGGGACAGGGTAGGGAAGGACCCTGTTTGAGGTGAAGATTAAATGAGTTAACTATATAAAGCACTTTAAAAAGTGCCTGATGCATAGCAAGTTCTATTTAAATGTTATTTATGATTTTATAATCATCATTCTTTTTAGAAGACATGTGTCTTTATAGAAAAGCTATTTTGTGGCTGTGGCTAATTTTTCTTCCTTAAGAAAAATTATCAAAGTTGGATGATGTGTCTACCACTCAAGTGCTGCTCTCATATCCCAGCTTCCTTTGCACCTAGTTTGGGGCCACATGACTGGGTTTTGGTTAACATATGTGATTTAATAAAAAAGACAATAAGAGAAACTTCTATCTTTGTAGATATTAGATGTTTAAGAGATGAATCTAGGGAGATTACCCCTCAACAAAACATCAGGCTACATTATTTGACTTTGAGGAGGCACAAGATAACACCATGTGGGCAAGAAAACAACAACAGAACCTAAACTAAACTAAGCTTCCATGGAAGTGGGAGTTCTGAGTTATAAACCCCCAGGGAATGCTGGTTGCCCCCAGGCCAAATGAAGATGTCAGCAATGCTCTTGGGAGCCTAAATTTTGACTCAGTGGTAAAGTGAGATGTGGAACTGAGGGATTTCTGGATCAAGCCAGAGATCCCAGAATGGAGCTGAAGTGGTCTCTTAGGTAGCACCAGCACTCCCTTTTTAGTTCCTGATAGAAAATACATGTAACCCCTCTCTGAAGTAAAACTGCTTTGATTTCAGCTGCTAGGATTCCCATACTTGACTTCACAATCACAGATTATGAAAGCTTCTCCTAAAAAAAACTCTTAAATTTGCAAAAAATCTGCAAAAAATCAGTATCAGATTTACATTATGAGTCAGTCAGGGTTGGTTAGATTGTGCTGCAGTAACAAATACTTCTGAGTCTAAGTGGCTAAACGCCAAGCTGATTTCTTTCTTGCTAAGTCTGCTCCATATCTGGACAGCTCCCCTGGGAATAAACGCAGAAAATGACAACTATTAGATTGAAAATAGATGGGTTATTTTGATTCTGGGTGGGGTAATGATATTACTCAGGTAGTGGAAGGAGTGATAAAAATCCACACAAAATTTCCAAGAACTAATCATGTAGAGCACTTACAGAATTAGAAGCAAAACATTAGATGATAACTACTCTGTGTAACAATTGTAGTAAATGCTCCATAGATATCAACTGGAATAAAATGAGAAAATTAGAATCATGAGTGGACTTTGAGGGAATCTAATATTTTAAAAGCATGTGGTCATTCTGTTATCACCCGTCCTTTACTGTTCTCAATTCCTTCCTTTAATGGCTCCTTTTCATTAGAGCAGTCAGATGTGGGGGGGTGAATCCTAGAAAATGTGTTTTTTAGGGTGCAGGTAGCTACCCTAGGTAACTCTGAGATATTGATCCTCCCCATAACACTGCTCTCTGTAATCCTACATTTTTAGATATGCTTTCACATTTGCCTTCTTATTAGAGTACACATCTAAAATTCTGATTATTGACTTATGCCTTAGACCTTCCTAGAATAGCCCCAAAATAGGTTGGAGGATTTGCTGTAGAATCCCCAGAACTGGGTTGGCTTGCACAGCAATCCAATTATTGACACCGGAGGTGTGGACAGGAGGAGATATTTATTAGATAGCACACAGAAAGGAGAAGAACAGCCATCACTTCATCCCCAGGCTCCTTGAGGGCTTGGAAGACAAAGGTTGTTAAGGATTGAAGTTGTGGTCAAGAGGTGTGTGATCAGCTTGTGGCCAGGTCTCTGGTTGGCTTTTGTGATCATTGCCATCCTTGATTAGTCAGTGATATTGCATTCTTTAGGGAATTTTGAAGATGGCAAAGGGGGCTGTATTCAATCTTGGGGCTAAATTCTGGTTGTCATTACTTTTTAGTTGGGGCCTGGAAAAGAAGCCCCTGAAAGTGAGACCAAACATCAAGGTGTTACCTATAGGGGAGATAAATGCCCTCCTGATCCTGTGATCAGGGACCCTGTGGGGCAGGTGGCACCACTCTCTCAATTCAGTGAGTTGGTTTTAGTCAGGGATTGATTTGCAATAATAAAAACAGGGCAAGGACACTTCAAGTTAAGGGAGGGAGGCTGGGAGACTGAGAGACTAGGACATGATGGTACCTAGCATCTTCCTGCAAGGCACTGCACAGGAGCCTGATCTCAGACCCTGTCCTTGACAGAAGATATTCGAGGGGTAGGAGAGTGGAGGAAGAAGGGCAATGAATGCTGCTGCAGTACTGAAGACAAGTCTCCCTGGGAAGAGGGCAGGGCTCAAAAGGGAAAATCAGCTTAAAGGCTCTTCCTCTAGCATGAACCCTTCTATGGTACCTGATGTCCTTTAAGCCTCTGAGTCTAGCTACATAATTTCAACACTAGGATCTTATGTTTTCTGTTTCTGAGGCTGCGCAGTGCAAGCTGCATGTTCCTCTTCACTTCCTGTTTCTCTAATCTAGCACTGACGCCACTGGTCTGGCCGGGCTCTCAGAACGTGTTTTGCTGAAAACATAAGCAAACGTTGGAATGTTCTCCGTGTATTCATACACCTTGGATACTTTCCTCTGGCTCCTGCGTTCATTCCTCCAATGAGATGATCACATATCAGCCCCAAAGGGAGAGGTGGAGATGTCACAGGAGTGTGTGGCCAAGGGGAGTGGCTGGCTGGTAAGTCTGAGTATGTTGTGACATTGGTGTGAATATATGTGTGTGTTTGTGTGTGTGTATGTGGGGAGGTACTTGCTATGTGTGTGTTTATGTGTTCGTATATATGTGTATTGTATTAATATGTGTGTTTAGAGTGTGTGTGATAGTGTGTGTATTTTACACATTCATGTATTTGTGTTATGTATGTGTCAAGGGCTGTTTGTGTATATGTGTGTACTGTGCATGTATATTTGTGTGCCCCTTGTGCTCTGTGACAAACTCACTACTGGCTGTTTTGCAAGACATGTCTTGAATTTCACTTTCTTCCTGAGCAACATCGCTAATGGGATGACATATGTCAGCTCTTCTGTGTTGGAGGCAGAAAATACAGAATGTGGCTCACCTGTGAGGCATGTTCTGGATAGAGGTCGCTGGTGAGGCAGAGGGTGCAGAGGGTGCAAACTGATTCCAGATCCCAGAGAAGAACCACTCATTTTTGCTCTCAGGTGTCTTCCTCCCCTCAGCCTGGTCCTGCCTGGCCATTTTTTTCTCTTAAGCTGACCATTCCCTGTAAAGTACAAATGATATTGCATTGATGAAGCATAGTGTCAGTGTCACCTGGAGTCTAAAGAAGCCAGGGACAAGGAGATTGAGAGGCCTGTAGTTCTCAGATCAGTAGTCCACAGACTTAGGAGGCAGTGGCCTCCCTGTTCACCAAAGAACTTTCAGAGGTAAAATACTGTGTTCTTCCCAGAAAATGGCTGACCAGGTCTGAGGCTATCCGCTTGTTCTGATTCTTCTCTCTTCCTGCAAAGTCACCAGACCTTCCTCTGTCTCCATCCTAAGCCTCATACTTAGAGAAGACGTCACTGAACAAAGATGCCAGTCACTAAGCCACATGCATGTTGTTCTCCTTTGTTGGCTGCGGGGACTCAGGGAGGCCTGAGATAGTGTTTCAGGTGAACAGAGTAGAATACACATCCAACAGTGTTGTGCAAGTGAGTAAACCATGACATTGAGATCTATTGCAGTTAGGATTCCCCCACACCCCAGAGCCTTCATCTGGGTTTGTTTTATCTGGAAAAACAGATGTGTCTTCCCTAGTCTCACAGAGGAAATCAAGCAGATGCAACCGCATGCTCTTGAAATTGTGAGTGATGTCAGTGTGTGAAGCAAAGATACATTGCTCTCTCATCAGAAGAGAGATGACATGGGGATGACATGGCCCTAATTTGTAGAGGACTGAGAATTGCTCAAAAGTGTTATGAAATGTGTTGGGATCATATGAGGGAGAGAGCTCCATGGGCAGCTAGCTGAGGCCCAAGATTCACTCCGCAGGGATGCTGAGGCCCAGGCAGGGTGACTGTCCTGAGTGATGTCCATGTCTCCACTGAACATGGAGATTTCCTGCACTGGGAAAGTTCCATGGTTGTTGACTTCCTCACAACAGCAACACCCAAGCAACCTCCAGCTCTCAGGCCTCTGCAATCTTCACTCCAAGCTTTCTCCAAAGATCAAGCCTGATCCGTTATTTCTGGTCCCCCAAACAACCAATCCAGACCCTTCCTAGAACCTTCCTGTCCATTCAGCCATAGAAACCTCCCTGCCACCTGGGACACACAGGGTCAGTGATGTACCTGCCTTTGTATCTCTGCCCACAACAGCTCCAGACCCTGTGTCTCTCAAATTCCAGCCATTCCTCAGGTTCCAGGCCATTGCACCTTCCTCCATGAAATCTCTTAAACTCATTATGGAGTGATAATTGGGGTGAGTAGGTGTGGATGAGAAATAGAGAATCTGGCCTCTCTCCTCATTCATTCTTCCACTCCTACATCAAATTTAAAAACCTCCCTCTAGCAAGAGAAGATGAAGGCAGGTGCTTCTGGAAACTCGGAGTATTAGTAAGCCTTACTGTTTTCTCTAGGTGGAGGAAAATGAATATGAAGTGGTTTCTCTGGAGGATCTGCCAGGAGAGATGTCCCAGGATACCACAGGGAGGCTGTCAAGAGGTAAAAGTACTTTCCTAAAAGGGGTGAGCTGGAGAAGGGTGCAGAGAGAGCGGTGTAAGGAAATCAGTCCGTCTGGGACCAAAGCTGGGAGCCTGCAGGGTTTGACTGGCTCTGAAGTGACAGCCCTGAATCAAAAGCTTCCTGTGAACAAGCAGAACGTACTTGACTGGCCATGGCCTTGGGACTAAGCTCAGCCTTCTCAGGGGTTGGTGCTTACTTAACTTTCAAGGTATCAACTTTGCCATCTAACCGAGGGAGACAGAATTTAGGAATGTTGTCAATTCATCCATTTTCCTGACCAGAAGAAAATATTTGTGATTCATTATGTATGTCAACATGAACCTGTTTTTTTTTTAACTTTATGAACATAAATGACCCGAGCACTGGGGAAAAAGGCATGAAAATATAATCTACTTCATAGGAACATTACCAGTACATGTGCTAATGCCTATTTAACTTTGTCTTACAGAAATCAAGTTTAGATATCACTTTAAAAATGTTCTCTGAGCTCAAGTGCTATATTTAGTGGTAAGGTTCGGTGGTATGTACTGATTCCATACTGCACCAGTGGGAATTACTGTCTGTCTTCAGCTTGCCAGGCAAGGAAGAGTGTTCCACCTTCTGCACTTCCCAGACACTCTGTCCACTCAAATTTCTTTTCCTTCCAACTAGGGAAGCTGCAGAGAGCCAATCTCTTCCCCTTAGATTTCATCGGTGGGTCAGCAAGCCCGGGTGGTGTGCAATCCTGTCATCTGAGACCCATCAATGACTTACAACTTGCTAGTTAACCCAATGGTCCCTTCTTTGTGTGCTCCAGGTGCTCTGTGAGGATAAGAGAAGGGAATTCCCATCCTTCCCCCATCCCTAAACATCCCTACAAAGCTTGAGATTAAGTTTCTCAGTGTCTGGTTGGTATCTCCAAGTCTCCTCTCTCAACTGATAACTGATAGTCCCCTAGTTGAGAATGTTCAGCCCCACCTTCAGGATGTGAGCAAACAATGGGAGCCCTGGGCAGGTGTCAAGGACAGGTGCTGGTCTCTGTCTCTCCTACCTCCCAGCCCAAGATAATCATCCCCTGAGGGAATGAAGCATCCCTGGGGGCATGGTTTCTGTTGAGGAAAAATTGGGTAGATGGGCTCTAACTCCAATTCCCTCTGCTTTCTTCTGATGATTCTAGGTCTGAAGAAGAAAGAACAGACCCCAAAGAGACTGAGACTCATTCTGGTGGGGAAAACAGGAAGTGGGAAAAGTGCAACAGGAAACAGCATCCTTGGCAAAAAAGTATTTGAGTCTAAACTCAGTACTAGATCAGTGACCAAGACCTTCCAGAGAGGCATCCGAGAGTGGGCCGGGAAGGAACTCGAGGTGATTGACACCCCTGACATCTTGTCCTCTCTGTTCCATCGGGATGTGGAAGCCCGGATCTGTCAAGCCATCACCTTCTCCTCGCCAGGGCCTCACGCTGTGCTCCTGGTGACACAGCTGGGCCGATTCACAGAGGAGGATAAGCAGGCAGTCAGGCGTCTCCAGGAGATCTTTGGAGTGGGGATCCTGGCACACACCATCCTAGTGTTCACCCGGAAGGAAGACCTTGCTGGCCGCTCCTTGGAAGAGTACCTGCACGAGACCGACAACCAGGACCTTGCCAAGCTGGATGTGCTGTGCGAGCGGCGCCACTGTGGCTTCAGCAACAGAGGGGAGAGGGCTGAGCAGGAGGCCCAGCTGCAGGAGCTCATGGAGAAAGTGGAAGGAATCCTGTGGGAAACGGAAGGCCACCACTTTAGCAACAGGGCTTACCAATACTCCCAGCAGTGCCTTCTGCTCAAAGGAGAGCAGGAAACTGGAATGACCCAGGGGCAGGGCTCTGGGGAAGTGTTCGTCGAGGAGTCCTGCTTGGCAGGGCTGCCCCAAGTCCAAAAGGAGTCTGAGAAAACTCATAAATACCTCCTGGGGAGGGTTCCCTTTTGATTTACCACTTATTCAAATCTCATGTTCCCTACCATTTATGTCAAAATTTTCATTTTTGCTCAGAATACTTTTGTATTCTTTTTTTATTTTTTAAAAGATTTATGTATTTATTTGAAAGTCAGAGTTATACAGAGAGAGAAGGAGAGTCAGAGAGAAAGAGAGAGAGAGAGAGAGAGAGAGGTCTTCCACCCACTGGTTTATTCTCCAATTGGCTGCAATGGCCAGAGCTGCGCAGATCCCAAGCCAGGAGCCAGCAGCCTCCTCCAGGTCTTTCAATGTGGGTTCAGGAGCCCAAGGACTTGGGCCTGCTTCTGCTGCTTTCCCAGGGCATAACAGAGAGCTGGATAGGAAGTGGAGCAGCCGGAACTTCAACTGGCCCCTATATGGGATGATGGCACGGCAGGCGGGGGCTTTACCTGCTATGCCACAGCACTGGCCCCTATATTCTTTTTTTTTAATATTTGTTTATTTATTTGAAAGTCAGAGTTACACAGAAAGAGGAGAGGCAGAGAGAGAGAGAGAGAGAGAGAGAGAGAGAGGAGGTCTTCTATCCGCTGGTTCACTCCCCAATTGGCTGCAACGACTGGAGCTGTGCCATTCTGAAGCCAGGAGCTAGGAACTTCCTCCAGGTCTCCCACATGGGTGCAGGGGGCCCAAGGACTTGGGCCATGTTCCATTGCTTTCCCAAACCACAACAGAGAGCTGGATTAGAAGTAGAGCAGCTGGGACTCAAACCAGTGCCCGTATGGGATGCCAGCACTGCAGGTGGTGGCTGTACCTGCTACGCCACAGCGCTGGCCCCTACTTTTCTATTCTTATGTGAATAAAATACTGATCTGATTGTAATGGTTTTCATTTTAGTATGGTGAGACAATTGCTTGTCAATCTACATTTTTATGTTTTCCTTGCAATTCTCAGGGATTTGATCTATTATATGAAAGCTGAAATCACTTGTCTAGGTTCCAGGGAAAGGCTTTTCAAATATTCTAGCTGAAATTGTCTTACATTTATGTACTGTTTGAGAGGACTGTAAATGCTTCAAGTATAAATCAAATCCATGTTATTTCTAGATGAACACATTGGAAAATTCAGAAGTAAAAAGTAAAAATGAAATATATTTGTATTCTCATTATGGTAAGGGATAAATTTCTTTAATAGATGTCATTATTTTCATTCTGTTGATTTAACTGATTTCACAATAGGAAATAGAACCATTTGACTAAATGGTGTCCAATCAGTGACTAAATTGCAAGCCACCTAAAATTTATCATTCATTAAAAATTTGATGTTGATTACCTCAAATACAGTACTTCCTGTGTTTTATTACAGAACAGCAGGGAAGATGCCTCCCACAACATCGCAGGAAGTGAGGCAGGTTTGCCCTGATGCCATCCTCCCTCAGTCTCAGAAGAGAACTGGGAAGGTGTGTTTGTGTGTGTTCTGGAATCCCCACAGTCTTGGTGCCAGGAAGAGATGGGCTGGGGAGGGTGATGAGAAGGAGGCTGTCCTGACCAAGGCTGTGACAGCAGTGACCTTTAGAATTTGTTATTTTCTAAAAATGCATCTACAATGGAGTGAAGGATGAGAAACGAGTTTTGGAGAATATGAGGAGCCCAATCAGCACAGGGTTTCTTTAAAAATATTTTATTCAAATATGATATACATATCAAGAAAGGCACATAATGAGTTTCTTTGTCAACTGATCAAGCTAATAACCAACAACCTCACTATTCCCACATCTCCACTTCTTTTTTTAACATGTGAAAGTGTCATTACAAGGTATGATTCAGTGAAGCAATATTTATGACTACATACCAAAAGACCTGACATCCACACAATTTTCATCCTTTTTTTTTTTTTTTTTTTTTTTTTTTTTTTTTTTTTGACAGGCAGAGTGGACAGTGAGAGAGAGAGACAGAGAGAAAGGTCTTCCTTTGCCATTGGTTCACCCTCCAATGGCCAACGCGGCAGGCACACTGCGGCCAGCGAACTGCACTGATCCGAAGGCAGGAGCCAGGTGCTTCTCCTGGTCTCCCATGGGGTGCAGGGCCCAAGCACTTGGGCCATCCTCCACTGCACTCCTGGGCCACAGCAGAGAGCTGGCCTGGAAGAGGGGCAACCGGGACAGAATGCAGCACCCGGACCGGGACTAGAACCCAGTGTGCCGGCGCCACAAGGTGGAGGATTAGCCTAGTGAGCCACGGCGCCGGCCTAACCTTTCTACTAACTACCATGAACAGGAAAAATATTTTCTTTTTGGTCGGATTTATTTCACTTAACATAATGATCTCCAGTTGCATTCTTTTTGTTGAAAATGTCAGGATTTCATTTTTATGGCTGAGTTATATATATATATATACACAAATATATACATATATATATATGGTATATACACCACATTTTATTTATCCAGTTATCAGTTGAAGTGCAGGGTTTTATCTCCCTCTAAACAGCCATGACAAGTCACAAGGAAGGTTTCCAGTCTCCAGGTCCCCATCAATAATGTTTATAAGCTGCATGTAAAACATACACAACAATAATACTAAACGAAAGCTTTGTATGCATCAGGTGGTGACCAAATGCAAGCAGCTGCTCTCAGGGAACTTGACCCCAGGATGAGAGTGTGGTGTGGTCCCAGGTCCACTCTGGTGTGGCTTCTCCTGAAGTTTCCCAGTCTTGCTGATGCAGAGGAGACTCAAGCAGAAAGTCACAGTCAGCTGAAGAGGGAGAGGATAGGGTGTGGGGCAACTGGAGCAGGTAGAAGTTGACAGGAAGACTCCCAAGAGAAAAGAGCCAGCAAGTGGGATCAGAGTGAGAGGGGAGGGCATTGTAAGTTCTGCCTTTGAGCTCTCTGCAAATCCTTCACTGGCTCTCACTGTACAAGCACAGGGCAATCTACAAAGGCCAGGGGAAATCTTACCTAAAAAAGCTGATCAGAAACATCAGCAGCTGTCCATAGCAGCAAAGGGAATTTCAAATTACAGCCCACCAAGTTAGTGGGTCTTGATAAAGTTGGAGATTCACACTGAAATGCCCACAAGGGTATACTTCAGGAGCAGGAACTGAATCTCAGGATGGAGCTACTTTTCCTAGAAGGAAGAGGAAAATTAAAGCAGACCCTTGCTAAAGATGCCTAAAACCCAGCCTTAACAAGGTCAGAGTAATGAGTTAGTAATTTCAGTGCTTACTGGAGCAAACTCGATTTTCTTCCAAAAAAGACAGCAATACCCAGAATCTCTACAATTTATTTTCTACAGTGCTCTGCATACTGTTAAAGTTTCTTCTTTTCTGACATAAGCATTTAAAGGTATAGACTTTCCTTCTCTGCATGTTTATCTCCCACTGGGTGCAGGGTCCCCACCTCTTGGGCCATCCTCCACTCTTCTGTGAGGCGCATTAGCAGGGAGCTGGGTTGGAAGTGAACTGGAAGTTCCCAGAATACATGCAGCGCTCTCTAACTGCGGTTCACCCTCTGGGCAGCTGCACATCATCCTGAGCCTGGTAGATGTGGTGATTCATGGCTCAAGCTGCCTTGCCACAGCATACCAGAGTCCAAAACCCTTCTTGCTCTTGTGGAGATTTTGGGGACTTACGCTTCCTTGTACATCCTCCATCATATACTACTGTCCTCTGTGTATTTCACCCCCTTTCATGTAGACTTGCAGTTCAGTCCCCTAAGCTGGTTTCCACCACCATGATGTATGCTGGACATTTTCTGGGCTTAGCAAATTTGCTGGATATTTTCCATCGCAGACTGCCCTGGACACTTCTACACTGAAACACTATCTTCTCCCTGGCTTGCAGAGTAACTAACTGCTCATCTCTCCATACCAAGGAGTGAGAAATTCTCTGGTGCAATCTTCACCTATTGTTTCCTCCTCACCAATGGCAGTGATCAGTATGTGTGGGGGATGTTAGGGAGAGCCTGATACACAACGGAGCACTTCCTCACGGTTTTACTTTCCACAAACAGGAAACAGATTGTTTTCTCTCCTTTTGGCCTGCGGTGACCAGGTACGGCTTGGAATTGTACTTCCCTGTGCACAGGCACCAAGGAAGGGTTGTTTTTCAGACTGTGATTCTCAGGATTTTAGGTGAACCATTGTGTGGAACCTGCTTGCTTCCATTCAGGGAGAAGGATGAAAACTCCTTCCTCTACTCTGGTTCCTGCTCTGATCCCCATCTCAGCATTACTAGGTAGAGATAGACTTTTGCATTATTTGATTAAGTTCTTTGCACATGTTTCCTTACCTGCAGAATCATGGAGAGGAGAAGGTCTTTGGCACCATGTCGTTAGCTAATGAGATCTAAAATGGGGGAATGCCTTGAACATTACTGAAGACGTTCTTTTCCTCCTTTGCCAGCACGGGACCTTGGCTTCAGTATTGTCATTCTCAAAATGTGATCCCTGTGTACTTTTCTCTGAATGGAGGAGAGAACTTCCACTTTGCTGATGGCCTTGTCTAAATACTGTGGATTCAAAATGCCACTCATGTCAAGAGCCCCAGGTGATCAATGAGGTCATACATAAGATTGTTAATTGTTAAATTAACAACAAGAGTCACTGTGCACTAACCTCCCATGCAGGACCGCTGCCCTCAAAGTGTTGTATTAGGAGAGCTAGCAATAAATCTTATTTTCAAAGATTTATCCCATTTGAGTGTATTAAGTGGATGATATACTTATGTCTCATAAATTTTAGTTAGGCCAAAGTGTCTTACTCCATTGCTTGTTTTCTTCAGTGCTTCTTTAATTAATGACAAACTTGTCTCCAAAGAGTTACTTTATCCTAATGTAATAAGTGAATGGTACTCTTTCGTCTCATAAGCTACAGTTATGTATAAGTACTTGCAAAAAGATGTATCACTCTTGGGTGCTTCTTTAATTGAGTTTCTCAAAAAATAAAGAAGTGTAATTAACTTCAAAATCCAATGGCTTTGAACAACCCTTGTCTCAACTGTTTAGAAAGTTCCTTTTTTCTTTTATCACACAAATTGATGAATTCATTACTTACTATAGAATTAATCTTCTGTGCATAAAGTTAATTGACAATAGATCTTCATATAAAATAAGACTGGGAATAGGAGAGGGAGGAAGAGAGGGGTGGAAGTGGGGGTGGAATGGTGTATGTGGTGGGAGGAATCACTATATTCCTAAACTTGTATTTAAGAAATGCATAAAGTTTTTATTTATTACATAAAAGGTTTTTTTAAAAAAACATAATGTGATACCAGAATAGCAGCATCAGCAGCATGTGAGATGTTTAGAAATGCAAATTCTCAGCTTCTGCAGTTCATATATTGGATCAGAAAATATGTATTTTTAGCAATCCTTCTATGTGGCTCTGATGCATGTCCATATTGAGCTTTTCTTTGGAAAACATAATGTTTGCTTCATTGAAATACACAGAGAAATCTGAAATAATATCCAAAAAGATGAATATCCAAAAAGATGAATAGATTTTTTTTTCAAGGAGCAGCAGCCTGCTTATCCTGGATATATCCTTCAGGATGGATTACTCTTATTTTCCACTTTACAGTTTGAATTAGCAGAGCTCAGGTTTCCTTCACTAGTCCAAACATTGTGGTGCAACAGAATTCTAGGGGATAAAATACGGAACACCCTATACTCTTATACATGATAGAACACCCTGCATTGGAGGCAAAGCCAGAATTCAAACCTATAGACTCTGAAATGGGATACTGGGGTCTCAAGTGGTGCCTTATGTACTGTGAAAAATGCTTGGTCCTCTCAATAGTGGTTTGTGCTTTTAAATTTTTATATTTGTATATTTAAGATGGAGGGAAGGAGGGATGTAGGAAGGGAAAGGAAGGGAGATAGATATT